AATGTTTTTTCCCATAAGATTGGGAACAGGTATTAACTTTATTTAGTATTATATTGGGGTTCCTAAACAGTACAAGAAGTATAAAACATACAAGTTGGAAGGAGGAAACAAGACTGATTTTATTTGTACATTCAGCAAATTGTGTGTGTACAAAGTCCCAAAGAACTGGACTAGTATTGACTAGCATTTCTGTGTTATGTTGACTCATGCAAAAGCTGGCAATACTTGTAACATGGTGACCTTCAAATATTTTATTACTTTCCATTGAAAGAAAGAGTAGGAGGTGCTGCCTGAAAGTCTAAGAGCTCACCAGCTCTACACACTGTGTGTCCCCTTGGGCACTTACAGATCCAGCACTTGATTCAAGTGCATTGAATATGGAACCAGTTGGCCATGGTTCAAGTCCTGATTCTATCACTTAGCTTGTTGCATCATTTTGGAAAGGCACTTAATCTTCTGAACCTTAGTGTCTAGTCCTGAAATACAAAGCTATTGTAATAACTCCCTAGTGTAGTTGTGCAAATATTATCATATTATCTTTGTCAAGATCCTAACAGTTCTGAATGTGATGATCTGATGATGTTTTGTGAGCTGTAGGTATTGCTGCATATGGGAAGGATATACTTAAATATTTCTTTTTGTGAAATGTCAATGGCAAAAGTTAACACCATAGGGCTGGAGTGATGGCTCAGCAGTTAAAAGCACTAGCTTCTCTTCCAGAGGACCTGTTGATTCCCAGCACCCACATGCCAGCTCACAACCATCTGTAACCCCAGTGCTTGGGGGGGGGGTCTTCTGGCTTCCATGGGCATCAGGTATGCATGTGGTATATAGACAAACATGCAGGCAAAACACCCATACACATAAAATAAATAAATTAAAATGATTAAAAGTGAACACTATTTCCATGCCCTGAAAGTTTTAAATAATATTCTGGTTATGTAGCCAGAACGTTGTTATCACCCCGTTTGACATATAATGAAAACTGAGGCTGCAAAGCTACAGTCATAGAACTAGAAACTGTAGAGCTGGAACTGGACATTATGGTCAGGAGGTCACCTCCCTTCTCATGTTCTCTACACTGGCTGACTTCCCATCTGTCTGGATCTCCTTTGGTGGCCAGGTTAGAGGCATTCA